AAAAAAAAAAAAAAAAAAAAAAAAAAAAAAATTGTACTCTCGACAATACCTGCCTTAGTAAAAAGTCAAATGGACTTCAGGAACACTAAAAGACTACATGGCAAAAAGAAACACAATATCAAGTTACAAATATACAATCATCAAGTTAAACGTACATAGTTCAACAACAATGAAGTCAACCATGCTCCAAAGATTTATTTCCCTAACAACAATGAAGGCAATCGCTCTTGCAAGCACAACAATAACATCTGCCTCAACTATAAATACAACACTAATAACAAAGACAAACGTTACTACAACAAACAATGTACAAATAATAACAGGTAATATACTCAAGACAGTTGCAAGTTATTTCAAAAAGCCAAGGCTGGTTGCCAACTAAAATCTAGTATACCAATCTACACCAATGAAACCAGCAAAGGATTCCAAAGCGATTGCAGACAGAAAAATAAATGTCAACAGAAAACCAACTATCGACAAGTTTGTTATGTGTTTTTACAAAATAAACTCCTTGAACTGCGACCATCGCTACAATTTCGTCAAGTGCGTCATCCTCGTTTGAGCCCCGATTTGTTACAAATCGCACAACTTTTCAGCACGCTGGCAGATAACGCAACTATGAAAGTAACAATCTTCACAAGAGGCGGTTCGACTGTGATCTTTGTGAGGCATCAACCTTTTTGCTCTACTCACTGTCGGGGCAGAGCAATGTCATGACAATGGGCACCTACAACAATGACATTTGTAACATCTCCATGCCTCAATGACTTCAAGTGATATCAAAACTGTACGAATGAAGACACAAGTTGGTAACAAATTAACGACAACAACTACCGTCTTCACCCAAATAGATTGCCTGGTCATTATAACCGATCTGGACTGAAAATTACACCAAATACGGCCATAATGACTGGGCATTCTATTCGGGTGAAGCTGGTAGTTTGCTCGGGCAAATGTGTGGCACGAACAAAGTTCGTGCAACCACTTCTTATCTCTCTCTCTCTGTTTTGCCCCCACGCTTAGTCCCATTGCTTTGGCCACCTTAGGGCTGTGTTCGCCGCGGCCACGTGGTAGACAATCGATGTACAGACCATAAAAAATTTCCAGTGCCATGCTTTGTAGTTGGTGAAAGGAAAAGGCCGGGGGGGAGGGGGCTGGACTGGATGGAGGAAGGGGGGCTACCGGTAGCAGATTGTAATTCGAACTCGTAGGGGTTCTACCGGTAATCCCCCAGATAGGGGGTCAGGGGGCCAATCTATGTCGGACCACGAGGAGACCCCAGTGGCACAGAAATCTAACTCCAAGGGGGAGGAGAGGAGAGAGAGGGCTAGGAGTCATGGAGGAGGTGGAGGAGGTTGATGGGAAATGCTGGTGGGTGAAAGGCCGGGCGCCTTTCTCGCTGCGTTATCCACCTGCAACCTATCGCAGTTGCGTCTCATGTATGATGAGCAAAGGGGATGTCATGCTGATGTCGATGCTGCATGGGAACAAATACATTTTGTGTATGCCCTCCTACCCAGCCACCTCATCCACCTGCTTGCCCCTGCCCTACTCGTAGGTCGATGTCTTCCCGTACGTATGTGGACAAGGATTGTAGCAGGACGGTGGGCGCCACATGAAAATAATCCGGGTATGTATCCGCATTGTTGCTACTATCGTTTGTAATTGCAAATGGCGTCAGCAGCACCGTAATCAAATCAAAATGAAGAGCATGCCCGTCAGCGTTGTCGTTGTCTAGATACAAAAGGGAGCGGGGGGTTAAGTGTGTAGTTCAGTGGATCTGCAAGGGCAGGAGGGAGCGGGGGGTTAGTGTGCAGTTCAGTGGATCTGGAAGGGCAGGATATCGACGACGAGATATCCAATTGTAGAGGGAGTGGTTAGGGAGGGAGTCGCTAAGTAGCGGATCTGCAAAAGGGTAGTTCATCGGAAATCCGTCGGCTGCGCCGCACCGTCAAGCCGGCGGGATGGCACTCTCCTCTCCTCTTCGCTGGTCGAACCACCTGATCTTCTTCTTACATTGACCTCCCTTCTCTCCCGCGCGACGCTCGGGCCGTCTTCCCGACAAACAATTTGACTGCCCCCCACGTGGCCTGTTTCCTTCATCTAGCCCTCTCGCGTCTGCTGGACTGGCGTTCGAGTCCGCTCTTCGAATCAATGGCCAAGTCCTTTGAGCGGGAAGCGTTCTCAGAGGCAAGGAAAGAGGGGGAAGAGAGAACGTGTCTTCTACGGGTAGCAGCTCTGGAAAGAAACAGTCAACATCCGAGCCTCCTACATCGTCTTCATCGTCGTCGTTAGCAATTGTGTCATCCCCCTCCCCCTCCCGATCCACCTCCTCCTCCTTTGCCTCTTCCTCCTCTTCCTCCTCTTCCTCCTCTTCCTCCTCTTCCTCCCCCACCTCCTCTTCCTCCTTGCCATTGTCGGCAAGGGCGGCGGGTCAGCAGGAAGAATCGCGGAGACCCCGGTCGACGTCATCGACGTTCTCTTCCAGTTGGAGGCAAGGAGAGGGCGCGACAATGGGCGGGGAAAGCGGCGGCGGCAAACCGAGTGGGCGGCGGCGGGATGTGGCCCCTGAGAAGAAGGGGGAGGGAGAAGAGGGGCCAGAGGGGGCAGAGGAAGTGGATGATGACGAGGATGACGTCTCTTTCAACTTCTCCACTCTCAAGGACAAGAGCTGCCGCGTGCACGACATTCTCATCAAAGGCAATGTGAGGACGAAGGAGTATGTTATCGAGAGGGAGATGGAGGGTGTGAGACGGGCCACCACACTGCAGGAGCTAGCCGATGAGCTGGCGACGGCATCGCGCAAGCTGAATGATCTGGGAATCTTCGAAGAGGTGACCATCACTTGCGACGAAGGCCCGCCGGAACTGCCGGGAACGACAGCCAACCTAATCGTCCATGTGAAGGAGAAAGGACCTCTCTCCCTCCACGTGGGATCGTACATGCAAGGCCGCGAGGGGTCTATAGAAGGCAGCCTGCAGCTCAATAATTACCTCGGGGCGGCGGAGAGATTTGATTGCAACGCGGCGATCGGACAAAGCACCTCAAACACCTATTGTCTGGGCTTCCACTTGTCCCATTTTCGGGGATTGCCGGCGTGGTTTCACACTCGCATTTTCCAATCCGTGCGCAACTGGCAGAGGCACAGTTCACACACGGAGAAGCTTAGGGGATTAGTCGTCAGTGTGGCGAGCGGGAACCATGACGTGTCGTACGAATTGACATGGCGAGATCTCGCGGACTCAACAAGGCTCGCGTCGTCGAAGATAAGAAAACAGCTGGGACATTCGCTTCTGTCGGCGGCTAAGTACACGTATGCGTTAGAGAGGAGAGACAATCCGCTTCGCCCTACAAAAGGTTATTCGTTCAGATCGTCCACTCAAGTCGCGGGATTAGGCCCGCCCGACGCTAGGATAGTCCGATTCGCCCGTCAGGTATTGTACTCGCTTTTTTGTCACCTCTGTTTGTGTGTGTCTGTGTGTGTGTGTGTGTCTGTGTGTGGGTGTGGGTGTGGGTGTGAGAGAGAGAGAGAGAGAGAGAGAGAGAGAGAGAGAGAGAGAGAGAGAGAGAGAGAGAGAGAGAG